AAGCAATTTTGTTGAAATAGTTATCAAAATATTAAAAATCTGGCATAGTTGTATAGGCTTTAACACATTTAAATACAAAATCTATTGGTTTATCTATTGTCAATAGATAATTTCAAATTAGTGATGGGCTAAATGTTATTTTGGGATCTGTACAGCTGTAATATGAAAATTTCTGGTCACTGTACTAAGTTCTAATTGCTGTACTGCAAATATGACAATGGTTTGCTTACATTCATCATTGTAAAAAAATTTAAAATTTTCTTAGAGTTTAGTGAAAATAAAGGTGTGATTTTTTTCCCATCCAGGTTTATCAGCCCCGTGAATTTTTCATGGACCTCAAATTAGGAACCCCTACCCTACAAAAAAACACTCTGAAAGAGATTGTCATTAAACCTAAAATAAGTGGTGAGCAGGAATTTGAACTCAGGCAATCTGGCTCCAAAGCCCAAATTTTTTAACTAGTTAGAATATCCTGAACTTAAAAAATCTTTTCCCCAAATTTAGCCAGCTTTTTTCCTTAGGAAAAAAAAAATCTCAAGCATTTTATTTACTGTTTAAATTTAAAACCAAATGACTTTAAAGTATTTACTTTAAAGTTGAATGTAAAATGAAATTTTATTTTTGTATTATGGTGAGTTGAGGAAGCTTACAAAGGGGAGAAATATGGAAAAAGGAAAGAAGAATAGCCAGAGCAGAGGTTCTCAAAGTTTAGGTATCATGATTACCTGAAGGACTTCACAATGTTGGTGATTCCTCAAAAAATCAAAAATAGAATTAGCATATGACCCAGCAATTTCACTTCTAGGTATATACTCAAAAGAATTGAAAGCAGAGTCTCAAAGAGATATTTGTACACCCATGTTCATAGCAGCATTATTCACAATAGCTAAAACTTAGAAGCAGTCCTAGTATCTATGATTAATGAATGGATAAGCAAAATGTGGAACACAATGGAATATTATTCAGCCTCAAAAAGGAAGGATATTCTGCAATATGCTATATCGTGGATGAACCTTGAAGACATTAAAAAAAACTAAATACGGGATGATTTCACTTATATGAGGTACTTAGATTAGTCAAAATTAAAACACAGAAAGTGTACTTACTGGTGGTTGTCAGGGGCTGAGGGGAGAGGAGATTGAGGAATTGTTTAATGAGCACATAGACTTTGCTTTACAAGATGAAAAGAGTTGTAGGGATGGGTGGTGGTGATTGATGGTAGCACAAAAATTTAAATGTATTTAATACCACTGAACTTTATACTTAAAAATGGTTAAGATGGTAAATTTTGTATTTATATATACTTTACCACAATAAAAAACATAATTTAAAAAGAAGTTAAAATAAAAATTTTAAATGTAGTGTTGAGTCCCATCCTCAAGAGTTTCTGATCCTGTAGGTCTGGGGTAGGACCTGAGAATTTGTATTTCTAGCACGTTCGCAGAAGATACTTACACGTAACACTAAGCACTGCTTTCTGAGAGACTGGAGGATTGAAGAGAACAAGGGGAGGAAATGACTTATTAAAGGAAAACTGTTATTTAGAATTTGGTCAGAAATTACCACCTCTTCTTGGGTGTAGACTTTAAAAGGTTTTTGGCTTTGTCCTTTGAAATAGAAAATAGCCAAATTATATTCACCTTTTAAGGGTATTAAAATTGCCATCCCATAAGTTATAACATTAAAATATGTAATAACTTAAAGTGGAATTAAAGTTATATTGATCCTACAATGCAAATATTATGGTATTATAAGTAAAAAGTTTTAATTTCAAAATACTTGGTTTTACATTTGTTGGCTGTTTTTAGCTGAGAAATGATATGAGCCGATAGCAGAATCAAGAGCATATTTTTGCCCTGTGTGAGAAACAGAAGAACTTGGAAGACTCAAAGTCCTTGCAGTGAGAATTAGGTTTATTTAAGTCTTTTCCGCTCAAGTTCCTGTCAGTAGGAAACAAAGCTGTTGACAAAAAATACTGTGTGTACATATAAAAGCTCTTAGGAGTTTACATTATATTATTGTTCTGAGGCTATCTCATACCCAGTTTCTCACGCTCTGTAACAAGATTGTTTGGGTTGCACATGATGGAGAATCTGCCCCCAAACTGGTTAAACTAAAAAAAACCCAAAAGCTGTGGGTTTATGTAAGTGAGCAGTGCAAGGGTATATTTAGCTTTAAGCACAGCTTGATCCATGTCTCAAACAAAGCCATCACTTTCCATCTTTCAGCTTCCTCTGGGTTCTTTAGGCTCCACATGGTGGCTCTTCTGGCAGCAGTAGCCTCACACCCTTATTTAGCTTCATGCTTTTCCTGCCTTCAAGCCCAGTAGAAAAGAAAGTCTGTTTACCAACTTCCCCAGCAAAAATTCTGAAGTTCACTCTGATACAACCAGCTTTAAGTGCCCAGCCTCCCAATCACTATAGTCTAGGGCTTGGGATACTCTCTTAAACCAATCTAAGGATTGCTCTTCCTGGAGCTGTTACTATGGGACTACCTGCCTACACTACATAGCTGATGTTGCAGGGAAGAATAGTTTTCCTTTAAAACTGGGGGATACTTTTTCCTAAAGAAGAGGAGAAATCATGCTGTACATTAAACCACAAGTTTCTACTCTCCCCTCTAAGATCTTGAGAAACTATAAACCCATCATTTTTGAACACCTCTTTTCTCCTTAAATGGAAGGAAGTAAGGAATTGGGGAATGAATAACCGAAATAGATTACATCAAGGAGGGAGTAGGGTATGAGGAAACAAAGAGGGAAGGCATAATTTTAAGACCTCAGGTGATGTTCCTGATCAATCTGTCAGACTTTTTTTTTTTAACGAGGAAAGAAAAGATTGCTATACATGTTTTGTTCTCTCTCCTCATTTCTAGTCCTAAAGACTAATAACTCTACCTTATAGGCTTTTTACCCCAAAACATTCATATGACCATTTTTATATGCTTTAAGTTAATTTCCCATGTTCCTGGCCCTTATTTCACAGATGAATGTTCTTTCCATATTAGGTAGATTAAACTCATGTACCTAGTAAGGTAGTAAATCAGTTAATAAGTTCTTTAGAACTTAACATTTTCTGTACTGTTATTTATATTAAAATATTTAGTCATCAGAAGCAGTTATTTCTAACCTGATCAGATCCAGTAATTGTCCCTTTCACACAGTTTGCTTTCTCCAGTCTTTCTGCTTTTTTCTACCTGCCATTTTTATACCCTAGCACTTCTCAAACTTTATTGTACATCGGGATCACCCTGGGGGCTTGTTAAAACACAGATTTCTAGGCTCCCCTCCTCTAGAGTTTCTGATTTGCTAGGTCTGGTGTAGAGCAAGAGAATTTGCGGGTTCACTAGTGATCCTGAGCAGTTGGTCCTGGGATGTTTTATTTTTGAGAATCCCTGTAATAAAATCACTTGCCCCTGCTAATTTCTACTATCATTCCTCCCTGAAGCCTTCTCTGATCTATGCAGATTGATTTTTCCTTCTTCTTAAAATGGATGTACTGTAGTAATTTCACTAGAACCTTTAATCAATTTTATTGACTGGATATAGCCCCAGTTAAGTTATAGGGTTTTCCAGATAGATACAATCTTCCATTTATTTTGTTTGTGCAACCACATGGAGCCAGTGAATGCTCAGTAAATGTTGCTGGCAATTTCTGTAATTTTTAGTTGCTTGCCTGTTTTGTACTATTATTAAGTTAGAAGTTTCCATTTCATATTTATTTGTATCTAAACTATAATTTTTAGATGAAGTAATTTGGTGTTGTCAGAAGTTTACATATTGTGGGCAATATTATTTGATCTCAGATGACCATTATCAGATTAACTGTTGAACGATTGGAGTAAGTAGAAAATGGATGTGGTAAGTTAGTAGATGTTGAAAATCAGCAAACTTTGTCATCAATAAGGTTTTTTTAAAAAACATCTCTTCTGTAGCATAAGTTCATTTGATCTCTGAACATTAGCTTCAAAATCCAAATTTGTAAGCTGTATACTCACTGTCACTATGAATCAGACAATAAAAACAGGGTTATTGGGATTAACACTTCTAATAAGGCCTAATAAGTGTTCACTGTATATTATCATTCATTGATCTTATCTATCATAGTTGTGAAATTGGAAAAAAATCTGAAAGTGCCTGTTTTAAATGTCAGTTGAATACCTTCTCAAAAATAAAACTTGAAGTATTTAGGGGTGAAATACACTAATGTCTGCAACTTTGAAATGCATCAAAAAAGGGATTGGTGAATGAATATGTGGTAAAGCAAATATAAAGCAGAATGACAAGGATTGTAGAATCTAGATGTTTGGAATATGGGTTTTCACTGAACAGTTTTTCAACATTTTTTGAAAATGAAATTTTTCATATTAAATGTTGGGAGGAAATATACTTATCTAGAATTTATGGGGATTATAGCTATACAAGTATTCCCATTAGACTGATACATGAAACTGCCACTTACATAAGTCAAAACAGACAAACAGAGGTAGTTTGATTTGGTTCAACCTGTTAAGGCTGTTGTTCTGCATTTTATTTTATTCCCGATGACTGCAATTGGCTCAATTTAAAATTCAGTTCCCCTTAATATTGATGAAGTATGCTGGTCTTGCTGTGCTTAACTACATGTATGTTTCATTGTTGATATGAAAAATGTATAAGAACCTAGAAAGTTTCTAGGTTCTAGATATTCTGCCTGTGTTTTGTTATTAAAATAATACATTTCATGTCCCAGAAGTATACAGATATATTTACAAAATTACCTTGGTTGTGGGGAAAATATATACTAACACCTCAATTAATTAGGTCTATTTGCTCTATACTTGTCAGTTGAAATATTATGAAAAAAACTAGGTTGAAACCCAGTCAAATCGTGGATAGTGGTGATGGTTGCACAACAGTGTGAATGACTTAGTGCTATAGAATTGTAGTCTTAAAAATGGTTAAAGTAGTAAATTTTATGTTATGTATATTTTACTGCAATAGAATTTTGTTTTTAAATAAGGTGGAGGAGGAGGCATTTTTTGGATAACCATAAGATAGCATGAAGTCCCAGACAGCTTGCCTGAGGTAGGTTAGAGGGTCAGCATGCTTAAACATGCTACTTATCTCCAATTTTTACCACACTAGATCATATGAAACCTGACTGAATTTGAAAGCTGAGTAAAAGCACAATTTTGGATATTGTTGCCATGTATTCCGTTCAGAGTTTTTTCCCTATTCTAACTGAAAAGTTTTAATTGGGGCACACAATTAAAATTCATGTTTTACAAGACTGGAAACGTCACCTCTCTGTGGGTACCTGACTTTATGGTCTTTCCCACTGAGCATACTTAAGCTAGTTGTCCTGACAGAAGCCACTTATCTAATTAAGTGAAAAATTTACAGTAGATAACAAGATTAGCAGTTGTTTCCAATTGTGCAGTCAAACTTTAATGGTGGGGGTAGGGGAGTGAATGGTGTAGGGTTGAATTGTATTTGCCCTAATGGAAATCAGTGTCAAACCTGTGTTAATTGGGAGAGATTGCAACCTAGTTCTATAAGAACAAATAAGACTTCATGAAGTGCCCTTAAAATCAAAATGGGAAAATGTTTTAAAATTAGCCATCTATATAGAATTTTTAAAAATTAATCTTGAGACTTCTAGCTTTCAAATATAATAAATATAATTCCCACCAAAAAAGGAAAACCAGTGATACCTATAATGGAAACAAATTTATCATATCACCATCCTAAAAAAATCTATCCTGGTGTCTTCATCTCTTCTCCCCCTTGTGCTTTTTTTTTTTTTTAATTTAATAAACGTTCTCTCTTCTTATAGTCGTACTTTACCAGAAAGAGAAATGGGTGGGGTTTTTTCTCTCTCAGTCGAAAATTGAATGAGACCATATGTGAAATCACTTGTGTAATACTTTAGTTCTCCAAGTTCAATAAGTTAAGAGGTTAATGTTGTTGAAATGACGGATACACTGAATTTCACATATTCCTGTAGTTACCACTTCTCAAAGAATTATTAGGTCTTATAAAAGAAAAGCAGTTTGAGGGTGGGCTCTTTGCATTCTGGTTCATTAGAGAATGTGAAGAATTGCTTGAGAAAGGGAAGAGGTTACAAAAACACAAAATTCAAAATCTGCAGAATCTTGTGTATTCATGAGGAAAAACAAAAAGAAGAAAATACCCTACTAGAAATGTGTTGTTTTGTCTCCTCAGACATATAATATATAGTCTTTAATACAGAATTAAAGGTTCTATAATATAACATACATCTCATCCCATTAAATAAGAGCTGCAGTGAAGAGGCTAGGATCTTAAAGATGACATCATTATTTTCTCTTTTTAATTTACAGAAGTTGCTGGGTGTGTTTTGCCACTGATGAAGATGATAGAACAGCTGAATGGGTGAGACCATGCAGATGCAGAGGATCTACAAAATGGGTTCACCAGGCTTGTCTACAGCGCTGGGTGGATGAAAAACAAAGAGGAAACAGTACAGCGAGAGTGGCATGTCCTCAGTGCAATGCTGAATACTTAATAGTTTTTCCAAAGTTGGGTAAGAAGATCCTTAGAAACAACACAGATATCTGTCATGTTACTACACTTAACCTTATGATCCTACATTTATTTTTAAGTGACCCATCTCTTTGCTTTTTTGTGAATTTCTCTATCCCCTTTCTGTTGTTTTCTCTCTAAATGTCAGACATTTGTTTGTTTTGCTAACAGTTTACTTTATCCTTTATATATCCCCATATCCATCCGTTTGTCTGTTTATTAAATGTTCTCATTTTGGTTGAGTGGATAAAGAACTTGGACATCTAGCTGGATAAAATCAAATAACGAAATTCTAATAAAAAACTGACTAAAGAACCTCATTCTCTGGAAACCGTTGGTGTGGGAAAAAGAAAACAATAGTGTGTTTTTTCTAATACTTATCCTTAATTCTTCTATTAAGGAATAAAAGTAGAGAAATTAAAGATTTAATAAAAGACAGTGTTAAACTATCTCTGGAATACAGTTTATGTGGATGTCTTTCATGAAAACTGCTTTCCTTTTTCTATAAATTGGCAGGCAAGAAATAACCAAAGGTCTTTGAGAATGTGGCTAGCATTGAAATAAGTGTAGCATATTGCTTAAAGGAAGCTGTAACTAAGGCTGATATTTAATTAGCCTGTTTAGCACAGCCATGTGACTGTGAACTGGTGTCATTCTCTTTGGTGTTTATTCCGTGCTAGTTGTTAAACATTTTTAATATCACCCTTGACTGTAATCAAGAGTTATATGAAGGCAATTTGGGTTCTGGGAAGGTCAGAAGGAAAGAATGACTTTGTAGGGAGTAGGATTTGATTAGAAATTGAAGATAATTATTAGATACTTTTTTTTCTAGATGTTATACATGTTGAAATCAGACCCCCTTTTTTTTATATAATGAGGCAACATAAATGCAGGTGATGAAGTGCTTTTCTAATGTGAGAAGATTGATGATAAGGGCAAACAAAGTTTCCATGGTTGTCTGTATTTCTCTAACATAATGCATAGAAAGAAATTGTAGCTTCCTATAAAAGGAAAATACTGTAGTAGAGAAAGTAGTGTTCTCAGACATTTAGAATTTATGGACCACATTGATGCATCTTCATGCACACTTAATTTTAGATAAAGTAAAAGATTAATCCAAAAATTTTAATTATAATTTCAAAGCATTATTTTAAAATAATTTAAACATTATGGAAAGAAATTACTGCTGCATTCTTTCTCCACATTGATACCTGTCTCACTAAAGTCAGAGTTAAGATTTCCTTTTAACTGTTTCTTTTCCTACTCTTTAGTTCTGCTAAATCAGAAATTCCACTTTTCAACTATAGGTTGTTGGGAATAGCAGTGAGTGTACATGTTTTATATATTCAGATGGATGGATACAGAAATTACTGTAAGAATTCTCACTGAAAGCTACATAAAATATCGAGTGAGGCACTGAGTTGACATATGTATGGCACTCAGCAGTGAAGTTAAATATTTCAGTTTGGAAGATGGCAGTGGGTAAATCTGTCCTTGGTTGTTTTTCAGTTCTAGGAAATACACTTTTAGGTCTAATTGGTAATTGAATGCATTTTTTAAAAATATATCTAATAATAAGACACTGATTTCTTTCTACAGCAAGGAAAGAAAATGGCTAGATACTGGAAAAGTCAAACTTTTTGTTTAAGCCATGTGTATCATGATTTGGTCTTTGTATTTTATCCTTAAGAATTGTTATTTCAGCCTCAAATGTTAGGTTCAAGCTATTCACTGTACTGTATGTCATGGAGAGCTGCCACTTGAGTAAGCCACAAGTAATCATAGGAATTTTTGACTAACCTTTCTAGTGTCCTGAGGGAAAGAAAAAAGTGTATCCTTCATTTGAATAGTTTTGTTAGCATCTTTCCTCCTGACGAGATAGAAAAGCAGGGTGTTGTATTTGGTTCTTTTTTCCTGATATAACATGCTGAAGATACCTGCTCAGGGCCTGCAGTTTGAATTATATTTACAATTTTCTAGTTTCTAACAGATTCAAGAATAGAAGACTCATTGTCAAATGTCAGCTGTTGTCTCTTAAGCACATGTGTGAGTTGGCTTTACAGGTGCTCTACTCTTCCTTGTCACACACATGGCTAGTGCTCTTGGCCATATTGGTCCTAATGTACCTTTTCAAGTCAAAGTTCAAAAATGATTGTTGGTTAAAGAAGAATCCCTTCTCTATAGCATGTTATGTACCTACCAAGAGTTGATTCATACTCTAAATACTAGCAATTTAATGTAGCCATGAAACAGAATACTGAAGAACATACACCTGTGATAGTGATTGTTCTTCCTCACTGTATACTGTACCTAATATATAATATTCAGTAGTGTCATCTAATGAAAGAGATTTACCAATAGATTGTTTTCTTTCTGAGTGTATTTGTCATTAATTTTGATGCTGACCATAGTATACATGTTTTTGTTCAAATAAGTTCAAGTTTCTTGGACTGTAGTTCTTAATCTTTGCTTTCAGTAACAAAATTCGTAGTTTCATAAGGCTTTGATTGGTTTACTAGAGTGGTTGAATTATATGAATTCTTCACTGGCATCTTGTCCTTGTTCTGTAATGTTTCAGTCCATTTAAAAATGTGTTACAGTACAGTGGGAACAAGGAGGTCTCCCAGTACAAACTAATAACTTGTTATTCACTGGTCCCAGCCATAGTAAGATAGTAAGATCATACTGTTTTCACTCTATAAGATCATACTACTTATCATTTATGATGTTCTGAGTCAGGTGTGTTTTTATCACTTTACTCTTCAGCGAATACTTTTGAGGCATTGATTCATTTTCCTAGACTGGGGATTTAACACATTATGATAGGAACAAAATACATATTTAACCAATGTGAACAATTCACATGATATCAAAATTTGTTAACTAAAACAAATTTTCCCCTTTTAACTATCCTTGCAGAGCATGTGTGACCCATGGTACCTAACAACAATTAAGAACCTAAAAGAATTTCCTTGAAAGTCATAGTTAATCTTACCTTTCAAATATGTGAAGTGTTTGTGATAAAAACTTTCATTTTTTATCAGATTATCTGTAGTAAACCAGTTAATTGAATGCCAGGGACCACCACTGGTCCCCAGTTGATACTTAAGAAACACTGGCTAGAAGAAGGAAGAAAAGACAGGCAAGAGGAAAGATGCAGAGAGGAAGAGATGATGGTTAACATTCTATAAGATGACCTATGTGTAATAGATTTTTTTCTAAGTTTCCATGCGGATTTAGCTTCAGTCTGTCTGGCTAGCTGGCAAAGTCTGCTTCTTTTCTGGTACTTAGTGGTAGCCAGAATGGAGGAGTGGTGGCAAGTGTGTGCTCTTAATTGTCCGTAGGGAATATATTGTGCTTAGTTATGAAAAACTTAGAGGAATCATCAGACTTATACTCGTCTCATTATTTGCTACCCATCATACGGTTTGCTTTCTTCTAGTGAGTTTGGACAGTAGTATATGTGCAGCTATGGGTACTTAAAAACTACTCAAAGTGTGGTCTGAGGACCAACAACATTAGAATTATTGAGAGCTGTTAAGAATGAAGAACCGTAGCCCCTTCCCCCCACCTCCAGTTATAATTAATCAAAATCTGCATTTTCATGAAATTGTCAGGTAGTTTATATGCACATTAAATTTAAGAAGCATTGAAACATTAAAATGTGAAGAGAATATCAGCTGAAAAAAGTTTGTCTTCCATTAAAAATAAAGCATTTCCATGAAATTTAAGACCAGATAGTTATCTTGTTTAGCTAAACAGGAGGATTCAGAGCAGCTCCATCTCAGGGGCAGAATCCCTGATTCTCACAGGTAGCAGAGACTGTTTCACATTAGATTACTTTTCTTTAATGTCTTTCAAAGATGTTTTATATTTTGCAGTTTTTAGTATACAGGTCCCTTCTTTGTTAAATGTATTTCTAAATATTTCATTCTTTTTGATGCTATTTTAAGTGGAATTGTTTTCTTAATTTTATTTTCAGGTTGTTTATTGTGAGTGTATAGAATAGAGATGATTTTTTTTTTTAATTTTGATCTCATATCCTACAACCATTCTGATCTCATTTAACAGTTCTAAGTATTTTAGTGTACTGCATAGCATTTCCTTTATACAGGATCATGTCATCTGTGAATCGAGACAGTTTTACTTCATCTTTTCCAATCCAGTTGCTTTTATTTCAGTCTCTTGCCTAGTTGCCCTGGTGTTGTACATTCTGTAGTTGTGGATAAATACACAATGATGGGTATCCACTATTATAGTATAATACATAATATTTTTATGGCACTGAAAATCGACCTGTTCATCCCACCCTCCTCCCTAACCCCTGGTTACTACTGGTCTTTTTATTGTCCCCATAGTTTGGCCTTTTTCAGAATGTCATATAGTCAGAATCTTATAGTACATAGCCTTTTCAGATTAGTTTCTTTCACTTAGTAGTTTATATTTAAAGTTTCCATGTCTTTCATGGCTTGATAGTTCATATTAACATTGAATAATATTCCATTTTGTGGATGTACCACAGCTTATTTATCTATTTGCCTACTGAAGGTCATCTTGGTTGCTTCCAGGTTTTGGCAATTACAAATGAAGCTGCAGTACATATCTGTGTGCAGGTTTCTGTGTGAGCATATATTTTCAACTTCTTTAGATAAATAACAAGGAGCATAATTGCTGGATCATATGTAAGTGTATGTTTAGTTTTATTAAAAAACTACCAAACTGTCTTTCAGAATAGCTGTACATTTTGCATTCCCACCAGCAGTAAGTTCCTGTCACCCTGTACCTTTGTCAGTACTTCTTGTTGTCAGTGTTCTGGATTTTAGCCATTTTTATCTCATTGTTTTAATTTACAATTCCTAATAACATAGATGTTGATCATCTTTTCTTATACTTACTAGCAATCTTGTATCTTCATTGGTGAGGTGTCTGTTAAGTCCTTCGATCATTTTAGAAATCAGTTTGTTTTCTTATTGAGTAAATTTTAAATAGTCTTGGTGTATT